ACCTTGCCCTTGGACTCGGAATATCATCGACGTGTGTCAGGTACAGAAGTCTGTTCACTTATTCTAAGTTTTTGCCGCGCACCACCACTATGTGGAACCAGCTGCCCACTGAAGTATTTCCGAACCAATACGACTTCACCTACCTCTACCTTCAAGAAAAGAGCGTACCAATTCTTGAAAGGCCGGCAACGCACTTGCGAGCCTTCTGGCATTGTGAGTGTCCATGGGCGGCGGTATCACTTAACATCAGGTGAGCCTCCTGCCCGTTTGCCTCCTATTACATAACAAAAATAAAATCAGAAAAAAGGAGCACGAAACAGATGACACAAATCGGAGACCCAGGCCTAAAAGGTTGTCGCGTCACTAGTTTTCTTTGTTTAACAAATTGAGTAACTTAGTGTCTTTATTTACATATTGTATTAACAAATATTTCTGTATAAATGCTTCTTCGTCTAAGAAAATAATTAACAATAGTAGTTACTCGTATGCCGCCGCAAAAAAATAGATAAAAATTATCTGACTTCCCAAACACAGATTATAATTAAAACTCCTGAAAACATTTTCAACGTGACTACACTTGCTCTAAAACAGCCTGAACATACCATCTAAGCTCGCATCCAGCATCATGTCCATACAAATTAGTTGGGCTGATGTGATTTCGTTTAGGAAAATATCGGCCATTAAACCAGTGAAAATTTTCAACATCCAGCTTAATGGAATCCACAACGTTATCATTACGAGGCGTAGTTTGTTAACTGGCTAGAAAAATCGAATTGTGTCTTTAAAAATAAAGTTTTGATTCGGTCAAAATGTTGCCATTAAAATCTTTTTATTAGTCTATCTAAGTTTGAATTATAATCATTTCGCGTTTATATGAATGATTCACTTTAATAGATAGTCGGGATTTAAGTATATATTTTTTTAATACCAGTTACTGTGTGATTTTTTAAATTAAATAACAGTTAGTGAATTATTAATCGGATATATAAGACTATAAAATCTAATAATGTATATATTAATATATACATTGTATATATTAATATACATTATTAGATGTCTTATATATCCGATTAATAATTCACTAATTATTAGATATCTTAGGTTTGATTCACAGCGTAAGACATCATGAGCTGTCACCTATGAAATATGATCATACTCACGTCCGCCCCGAATATTTACGTACCTCTCCATATTTAAAGTAATTGATTACAAATTGAATTCCCAAAAATAGCCCAGTCATCACGAGACAAGTTCCGGAAAATAACTGAAAAAAAAAACATGTGAATTGTATCTGAACTGTAAAGAATTAGTCAAATTAGTATCTCGTAAATATACTTACTAAGAACTGAAAACTTGCTTCCTTATGTCGTAGAAGTTTAAGCACGAGACGGTAAGCACGCTCGAAATGTTCGGTTTTTAATTCAACCAAGTCGACAAAATGTTCTTTCCAAATTACACCATCGAAAAATAATGCTTTTCGAATAAAAATATTGTATTGATCCATATTATATATTTTTAATAATGAAATATTCAAATAACGAACCCGCATACTCAAAAATAAATAGGAAATAATCAAACAATTTACATAAATCATTAAACTGTTGAGAATAGCGATCATCAACAGCCCAAAAACTAAAATTTGAATTTTGTAAACGCTGTTTGCAATTATTAAGATTAATATAATAGATAACGTAATAAACAAATAAAATAATATTTGTAATCGAAATAACTTGTAGGTAATATCTCTCATAAATTTAGTTTCTCCTATTCCAATAAATTCATCGATCTGAAGAACCACTTTAAACATTTTGAAATAAGAATTGCGATTTATAAAATTGATGTTTAGAAACATAGAGTTGCCATATAATGTTAAAACGATTACCATAACTAATTCACTGTTCGCCAAAAAGTCTTCCGCTACTGTCTCATAAATAAAAAAAAGGCAACACACGTTTAGCAGGATATTGATGGTTATAGCTCTTAATAATGACAGGAGTGAATTATCGAATCTGAAAAAACCCAAGTACTTATACAGTCGACATACTTTTCCATTTAAGTTATAGAAATATTCATCTACTAATTTTTCGTTTTCGTTACAACTTATTACGCTACGAACAACGCGCTTCATGTTTAAATTCATTTCGTAAACTAACGATTCAGTGTGTGTTATGTCGTTAAAATGACATAGACCATAGTCCCATAGGATTAATTGAAAAACTATTAAGTATCAATTACTGATATTAATATAACGGTTCGATAAAAATAGATAAATTCATATTTATTTTTAAAACATTACTAGCTTTCAATATGTTTCAATTTTTTCTAAAGAATTGAACTAATATATTGCGATTTAGCAAAAAAAAAACCCAAAGAAATCCCATTTGATATTTATTAAATTATAGCGTATTTATTTTTTAACAATTAAGTTATTTATAATTTTTGTCATAACATATGGTCTAAATTCTCTCCCACCCTATAAAGGCACCTTACCTTTAAAAATGTATTCTTTAGATTTCTACTTCATCGATTATATTTGTTTACGCAAGTTTGTAAAGGGTCTGTTTGATACAAGTACATTTTTTGGGCATCCCATTCAATACAAATTGCATGGAAATAAATATAGCCACTAGACTAATACCGCTCCTGAGCTAATTATGTTTCAAAGTCAATACTATACATTTACTGAGTATTTACTCAAGGGTATAAATAGATTTTCGATTAGATTCTAAATGATAATATTTCCATGAATATTACGATAATAGTCGTCGTTTGAAAATATGGCTTTATTTATAGCCTCAATAAATTACATAATTTTACTAATTAAGTACAATTATGTTTGATAACGTTCATTTCTTTTATAAGTGTCACTGGAGTTAAATTGATTGGGGTTTCTTGTAAGCAATAAATACACGATACATTGTTCTGCTGGTAATAGAACCCAGGACCGATAATATTGTTATATATAATAGGAAACGTTAAAATTTATCGAGCTCCTTTAGAAAAGGCGTTGGCAAATTTGCGTGGTTATACATTTGCGCTGAACGATTGGAAGAAATTTGGTTTGATGATATGTTAATTTATAGCATTTTAGATATTTTGTTATTATTTAGGTTTAGGTTTGAGCCCCGACTGTGCATTAATGGACTTTCTGTCTATGTGTGCATCTAACACTCGTTCATATGGTGTAAAAAAACTTGCAGAAAGCTGTTAAACCACTTTTCTATAAAATAAAAATGATCAAAGAAACTGATGCAATTTGAAGCTAAGATCCATATAGGGTTGTGCCCCTCTGGATTATTAATGTTACAGTGATTCTGTACGTGGTTGCGTAACATTGCGCCCTGACCATTTCCTGTCTTGGTTGTAGGAGCCGCGAGGATTTTGGGTTTTAATTAAATACTTAAGATAATCCTGGCATTTGAGGTTCTTTATTAAATTTTAAAGTTTGTGAGGTTAGTTTAAGGCAGTCGTATTATTTTATTAATATAACATTAATTATTAATAATTTCGTTAATTAATCATTAGAATTTCCAATTCTTGTTTTAATCTCTTCTTGACCAACATATCAGACTTTAGATATATTTCGATTACTTTGGAGTAGACATAAAGTTTAACAATGTGGAATACCGGATATTTAAACCTCCTTGGCGGGATCTGCTCCCCGTTTACACACAAAAACATGAAAATAAAACCGCAAAATATTTAATCATGATATTATATTGCTTATCAGTACAATGTAACAGATTGTTTCTTAAAAATAATCGTGAAACGTTAGCTATACATTGCCGTCAAAATGCTAGTAAATGCAATTGATAAGAAGTTTAATTGAGGCATTGCGCTATCACAAGAAAATGGACATTCAATATTGTCGATGAGCCGATTTGCGAAAGTTTTATTTCAAAAATTAAAAAATATTTTAAAAATCTCGTTACGTCTAATTAGGTACCTAAAAAATTAATTTACTACTACACTAGCATAATTTTATCATATTTACATTTTTCAATCCACAAGCTTGGCCGTGAAAGCGCAGATGTACCAAAATTGAGCATATACATACTTAAATGCCATACAATTACACTTTGTATTATATTACGTATTAACAATCTTTAAATAACTTAGCACAATAGATAATAATTCTTACACACACTCACAGCACATACTGTAAACCGATTTTCATAATTTAAAATATAAATTCTAGAAATGCATTTTAACTTGGTACGACTTTTGTGAGCCAGTCTCGGCTGACACATATTTTTTTGTAGTCAAATAAGTACCAACAAAAACAAACAACATACTACTAAGTACACTTTAAAATTGTGACATGTTAATAGAAATTAGAATCTAATATCACTAGAAAGGAGAAAAACAGATTCCTCATAGATTTTTCATCGGGCGTTCGTACCCGGTGATCATTACCAATCGTTATATTATGGAGCGGACAAAATTGTCATCCGGTCCATGCCGCGTTTCATTTCATTCCAGCGACCCCATAATCTCGTTATTAGCACCATCTTCTACGCGTTCCTAATCTAACCAGCGCTGATATAAAATGAAACCTCTGTTTTGTTTTAACCTAAGTTAAACTACGTCCTAATCTACAATTAAATGTAAACTTAAAAGTAACCCCGTACCATCACCAAACATTGCACATAATACCCGATACTTTGATTTTTTAATTGCAGTCATGCCTATACAGGCTAATGGGGTCTCCTCTGACTGTTAAAAAATTAAGGTATTTTAAACACGGAAACGTAGTTCCCATAGTAAAATCGTTTATAAAATTCCTCAATAAGTCAGGAGATCTATTTTGGAAGACATTTAAAATTAGGTCCGACCTTATCCACACAACGCACTGGGAATTAATTTAAATTTTACATTATCATTAGCGGACGGAATAAATTCGTGATTTAAAATTAAGTTATTCATTAGACAACGGATCTACCGATAAAAACATTGTTTACGAATTTTTAATTGTCTACTGCTGTAACCAGTTGAATGCATTAGTTGTGAACTGGCATTGGTAATTGACCTAGTAGCTGATTTGCAAATGTGGCATTTGTGAATTTGAAGTGTCGCTTATCGTAAAATTTTAGTAATGCTGGAGAATATGGGTGTTGCTTCTTGAGATGCATGTAATGTTCCTCAGGCTCGGAGGTTGTGTGTCCGCATTCTTCACATACATACATCTGTAAAAAAATGACAGAATATTTAATAAAAGAGTCAAAGTCAGATCATTTATTCATATAGGTAACACAATGTAACACACACGGTAATGGTAACACAACGTCAAAAAAAAATGTATATAAAATGCTTCTTATTTTACATTTGCTGCCAGTTCGCAAATCAAGGGCGTAGAACGGAAGAGAAGAACTGGCAATTAATCTCTCAGCCACTCTTTTTAATCGCCAAGGTTTTTTTGTTTTACACAACGTTTGTAAGGCAACCATTACACCATATTCCACACGACATCTTAAGTAATAAATAATAATAAAATAAATTAAAAACAAAGATTTGTCCTCTATCAGCAGAAGGCATGGTGAAATAGGAGCACGCACTGACATTCTTGTGGGAACAACACGCAAATACATATTCAAAATAACTAACATCAAGGCATACACGAATACAAGTACGACCAGTCACCACAAGTAGCAACCGTTCACGAGTATAATTTAAACCCCTATACATTATAATAAACAACGTATAAAATAATTGATTGGTGCATACCTTAGTCCTTCTTTCTTTGTAGGCATAAGTGTGTTGTACTCCATGCACTTTCAGGCAATGTGATTCTAATGAGCATCTCTGGGTGAAGGATTTTTCACACAGATTGCATTTGTATGGTCGGACACCGGTATGTGTTCTCGTGTGTCTTTTCAGGTCAAATGTGTCATTGAAACCTTTACCGCAGAATGTGCAAAGGTATCGTTTAACATCAGAGTGACACTTCATGTGCCGATTTAGAAGCCTTTGCAGGGTAAAGTTCTTGGAGCACACTCTGCACACGAACTTCGTTGGATCATCCTCGCTCACTAATACTTGTTTATTTTTCTCCTCCTCTCGTTGTCGGGCATTCGCTTCTGTGGCAAGAGGATTCTTTACTCCGTGGCCGCCGTTAATAAATTCTAGGGGTAGTTCCGATGGCAGGCCCAACTGTAAAAAAGAGAAACAATGTTTTATTCTTAATGTTCACAAAATAGGACAGCTATGTGTTTAAGTTTCCATTCGTCAAATTATAATGCTGAGCGTTATAAAAGACAGCTGTACGATTAAACAGATAACTAAAATAAAATTACAAAATATTTGCAGAAGGTAAAAGCATAAGTTGATTCAGGCTCAGCGTTATATATTAACGGTGTCGTCTACTCAATGTTCAATGTCATTTTTTATTTACAAATCCCATTCGAGAGTCACCTGGATGACATTGAATATAAATTATTGAGAGCTTCGCCTTAAAATCAAATAATGCATACCCTTTGTTGCAAAATTTGAATTTTGCTATCGGCGATAGAGCCTTTCTTCAGACTTACAGCAGCTGCCGGGCTTAAAGATGAGTTCTCGATGTGATTGTTGCCATCCAGAGAGCTGTTGCCGCCGGGTGATGGAAGAGATACACCGGTTGGAGAATCCAAGTCCAGGGAGTGACTAGTGAAGGGGAAACCAGGAGATAGAATTTGTTGCCTTTGTTGAAGTTGCACATGAATTTGAAGTTGCTGCATTTGCCCTTCGTTGTGGGGAAGAAGGGCTGGATTAAGTTGCATTAATAAATCTGGCCTTTCTTTGGGAAAACCATATGAAGATCCTTGCTCTTGATTTGCAAAGGCGATATAGTTAGCTTTTTCATAATACTGTCTGCTTAGATTAACTTGCTCTGCTAGTGATTCAATATCGACACCATTGTGCACAGAGTCTGGGGTGATTGATGATGACTCTCGTATCTCTGAATCCGTGATTTGTTCGACGTGGTTATTTAATAGATCAGTTATGTCAGTTGAGTCAGAGAGATTACTTAAAATTCCTTCGTTAGGGGCAAATGTCAAAGTTGTGTAAAATTGGTTGTTATCAATCACATCGTCACCCATATCAACTACCATTGAGTCATCGAAATTGTTACTGTAACCTCCGATTGAACCAAGATTCTCTAATTTATTCTCAATTCTATCATAGTCAATTTCTTCGTCCTTTAACGCTATTCCATAGTGTGCATTTTGCATCAAAGAGTATTGCTTACTTTGTTCTGGGAAGTTTGTATTAGCGTTTTCTGTATTTTCACATTCCATATTGAAGCCATTCATCATATTAAATTCATTTGTAAAATTGCTATTTGCGTTGAATGAGTTCTGGCCTCCTTTGGTGTTTGGCCCCAAAGTTTCGTAAAAAGGTGGTAGACTTCCTGTGGGTGGGCTATTAGGTCCATAGTTAGATCTTCCGTCGCGTCCTCCGTTGCCTCCACTACCAGACCCACCCCCAAGAGCTCCACCACCACCTCCCGAAGAAGGTGCTGCGCTGCCGCCACTGGAGCTAAAGTTCCCTGAGCCACTCGTATTCTGAGAACCAGAATTTGAACTATTTCCATTTGTTGATCGGCCGTGACCCGCAGCGGCGTTCATAATACCGGGCAGCTTAGTTCCAGGACGATTTCTTAAGACAAGAATTGGCCTAGCCAGAATGCTATTAGCAATTTTAGAACTACTCGTTCGCCTTTGCTCTCTTATTTTCTTTTCAGTTTCTTCATCTTCAGTTTCTCCTCTCTTTTTAGCTATTACATAATCTATTGGCTGATCTTGTTCAGGTTCTGATGAAGGTAAAGTAACTGGAAGGCGAACATCTGACAATTCCTTTTTGTTGTTTTGAAACTGTGACTGTGCAGGCGTTCTTTGAATAACAGATACTTTTTGACATGTAACATTATCTATTCCAGGTGAAGGTGCCGATTCCGGAGAAGGAGAATTCCGTGGTGGAAGAACTACCGGTTCACTTTGAAGTGCATCCTTCTCCTCTTTTATTAAAGGCTTTTCTTCTACTTTTTTGCTATCAACAGCTACTGGCAAATATTGCTTTCTTTCAGCCTGTGTCAAAACGTGTCCTCTGTGACTGCCATAAGGAATTTCACCTCCAAGAATCGATGATATGAATCTTCTTGGTTCTTTAGTCCGTCTCTCGTTGGGTGATTTGTTTCCATTGTGTTCTCCAAAAACGTCGCGATCTGTAAGATAAAAAATATGCTGTTAAAAATTGTATTTATATTCTTTACTACTTCTATTAAAATACTTTATGTAACATTATTCACACTGTTTATAACATATTCGTATAACGTCGAAGGCATAAGGCCACGTTGACGTCACTGGTATGTGCCTCCATAACGGTATAACACTCGCCTCCACACATACACCCACATGTGTTTCTGTGTGCGTGTCACATTATTATAATTGGCGAGCCAGTCAACAAAATAACGAATTCAATCTCGACCTAAATCTGTAAATCACTGACGGTGCAATTTTTTTGATTTATAATTTTGAATGGGTATTAAAAAATATTTGTCTAGCTGTTATAAATCAATAACTAGCGAATTGGCAAGTACAGTCGGATATCTCATTTAAGGTCTCTCAGTCGTATTTTTCATTGCAGAAAATCGTGTCACTGTAAGGTTCCAGCACCCTGCTTGTGATCTCCACTTTGTTCGGTCTTTCCCCTTGCCGACGACAACCAGCTTATCTAGGTTATCTCGTTAGCGACGGGTGATATGACCAGAGGTTTCTTTTTTTTATATAATAGGTGGGCACACACGAGCCTACGGGAATCCCAAAATACCAAAAGGGGCAATCATCGCAGCCCATAGACACCCATTTTTAGTGAGTGCGGTGTCGGCCTTTTAGGGGGGAGAACACTCTAATTTTGAATGAATAATTGGAGGTCGTATCTCTCTGGGAAGACCCCCAACGGGTAGTTTCCACAGTTCGCTAGTTCGCAAAATAAAATGTCTTGTGAAACGGACTGTGGAAGACTTCCAGCCATCAAGGTGATGTTAATGAAATAAACTTCTTACTTTCTCGTAATTATCTATCTACTCCATCATGGGTAAAAGTGGTGAATGAAATCATAAATTTTAGCATCATAATGAAATGGATGAGTTAAACATGCGTAGGTAGTTAGTGAAAGTTCCAAGGTTGCATGAAACGGGTTACTTTGCCCTTTCTTAGCTTTTGTTAGGGATCCAAGGACGAGGCCGGCATTGTCGGGCCCGCTTTTTTATAAGGTGCTTCATAATTGTATGCGCCCGCGCAACCGGGCGTGACAACAGAAACTTGATTTTTGTGACGCATTCAATATTCACCATAATAAACACTTATTACAGTTAGATCTTGATATAGACAAATTATATATATAAAGGAATATTTGTTTATTAAAATATCAAATATCTTTTGTTTCTTATACATTTTAATTTACATTACTATTACCATTTTAAGAATGAAATTTTATTATCTTTTGTGAAAATATGTCATTATACGTATATTGTCAGTTGACGTACGACGGACTGAAATAGTGCGGTTTTATTCTAAAACGGTAAGTCAAGGTTCTATAATTACCGCGTCCATATCTATTCAGTTACTTGCTGTTTCCTGCCGAGAAACTGTATGCGAAACCTTGAATGCGAACACTCATTATTTGGCTATTAAACGTAGCCTTGGTGCTCAGTTTTGGCAATAATTTGTGCCTCATAAGCCATCTTGTGTAATTAGAGGCTGGTCATTAGCGAACCGGAATGAAATACCGGTATTTATCTAAAAATTGTTAATTAAATCTAATGATACCGTTAAATCATTAATAGGGAATGTACTTTAACTATGAAAATATTTATATGGCTCTGTTTTAAATATTGAAAAAAATATGTTTTATTTCATAAATCATTTATACGAGTATGTATCAGTCCAACCTTTTCAAATATGGAATGTTTGTAAAAAAACACGGGTTTTAAAAGATTCAATTGATTATCTAGTTGAGTTGAACAAAAAGAGCAGAGGAGCTATCCTTGTTCCACGGGGTTATCGGACGCTAGTAGCATTTAAAGCATTAAAAACGTAGCTAAGAACGCAGTAGACATGAAATTCCGTTGGCCTTTTTTCCATAAACACAAGTACCGATAGGAGACGGTACATCGGGAGCTGCCCGCTAAGGATCGGTTAAAGGTCGTTGGGAAGGACATTTTTTGTTCTGAATTATTTATGGGCCGCATGTGAGCGCTTTTTAATCGCCGTTCTGTTCGCGTCACGTTTAATCTATATAGAACAAGAGTGTACGTACAGTTGATATACAAGAAATATGTATATCCGTAATTAGGATATAGTACAGATATATAACCGTGTTTACTGATCATTTTTTATTAACAAGTTGGTGATATTTGTTTTAATAATGTTGTGTTCTATATACCGAATTAACCTATGGAATGATTAATCTTAAAGATTTTTATCGAAATCATTTTAATCGACATAAGTTATACTAATATAAAGAATTAATACATGATTTCTGTATTAACTTTTGAAGACGTATGCATTAACTTTTACGTGATTAGGAGTACATAAAGCGTCTTCCGGGGTCCGTCTAATCAACATCTGCGCAGCAAAAAGCTTCGTGCCTTTAAACGAATTGCCACAAAAACTGTTCAGCACTTATTACTTTGATCACATGAATCACAACCAGATTTGTCGAGGGTTAATGACCTAAATATGTTTAGCAAAGTGTTCAAGGCTAGAAGTAACTAATTCGGTTCGCAAAAAAACTTGTATCTAAGAAGGCAATCGAATATTTTGTAAAGGCGCAGAACACGTTTTTTATGATCTATTTATAATAAATTCACAGTTTTGTTTCAGACAGTTACTTTTTAGGCCTCCGTTTCCTTTCATTCATAATTAAAATGATAATTTTAAATCTTAGTTGTGGTTAGAATAGTCCAAGAACTTTTGAGCTAAAGGAGATAATTCTGCCATTTATATTATTATATTTATATGATATAAGATTACTTTATAAGTTTTTTTATTATTGGACCTCTTTACACTCCAATAACCATGAACTGTATTTCTTTTTTATCGCTCAACGAATAAGTATCGCAATACACCGACTACATTGTACACGGGTACACCAAACTCATTGGTCTAGTGGTTAGTACCCCTGACTGCGAATCCATGGGTCCCGGGTTCGATCCCCGGCTAAGACGAACATCGATGTGATGAGCATTTTGGTGTTGTGCTTAGGTCTTGGGTGTTTAAATATGTATTTATATGTCTATCTATCTATAATATGTATGTATATCCGTTGACTAGTTCCCATAACACAAGCTTCACCAGCTTAGCATGGGACTAGGTCAATTGGTGTGAATTGTCCAATCATATTAGGTATTATTATTATTAAACTTTTTCAGTTTATTTTAGTTTGCTATTTGTCAATTTTTAACTAATATTATTACTATGTAGGTTAAAATAATTGTAAATAATTTATCTAAATATATTAGTTTGAAGTACTTAATAGTACTCAGGACGACATTGTTGGATTTGTAAGGTACGAGTTTAATGTAGTTTTAATTTTGGCGAATTATAGTTATTAATATTGAATGTTAAAAACAAGAATACTAAATATCAAAGTCTGTACAATCATTACTTGCTAGATTCTTCGAATGTTCATGCAAGTTCTAAAACAAGTTTCAGACAACTATGAGGTTAGATATAGAACAGTTGTTCATTGTCCTTTGTGGGCGTCATTCGGCAAATTACTCCAAAATCATTATCTTAATATGGCGTGACACAACAATAGAGGAGATGGCCTTACACTTACAAGTGTGCGTGTGAATGTGTATTTTTATAACCTTTATTCGCTATACTTCAAGAAAATCCTTGTGCCAACTGTAAATCAAGATGAATGTTCAGACGCCATCTTGATTGTATTTTATGAGATTTAAAATTGGAAATGCGTTTCGATTTACAAATAAAACGTCAAGAATGTCAATACTATATAAACGTCATAAGTAGATATAGATTATATAACAATTTAACCATGTTTTGTCTCGTAATATTCAATAAGTTGTTACCGGTTGTCATTTGCAAAAAAAAAAAAATTGGCTATGGTATGGCACATATTGTATGGTATTAAGAATAAAATTATTATTCTGTGATTAGCCCAAATTTGCGTTTATTAATTTACTATGAACACAAAATCGCAAACAAGAAACAGTAGCTTAAAAGTAAACGACAACGCTGGTCTCAGCGCTGATAAGCGATCTCTTCCAGACAAAAAGGAAAAAATCGTAAGCATAGTTGAAATACTATTAATTTCGAAATTATGAGAGACATGGCCGAATGCTAAATTTTATTTCCGCAACATTTGTAATTGGTTGCTGACGGGCGAATCGTAATGACCGCGCCGTGGTTTGTGTGGCTTTTCTCGCTAATTTCCAATTAACTTTAAGTTACAACATAAGTGACACTTAATGGTTAACATAGTTGTTGACATATTCTGTTTACTGTCTACTCTGGCTGGCACAGACTATTGTATAAGATTCTTGTTTTTGTAGCGTTTATGTATAGCCCGACTTTTTGATTTTATTATTATTATTGTAAACTAACCGATTGTTGTATGTATTAATAAAACCTAAATAATAATAATAATTAAATTTAGTTATTAACTAAGTATTAAATTGACTTTGGTTGTGGAAATCTTGGGGTAAACTTTTAAAAATTGTTTATACTAAAGCTTTAATAATAATAATGGTTAACATAATGACCGCAGATATGTTTATACATTTAACATCTGTTTATTCCATAAATGAATAAATGTAAAGGCAGATGCTGGTTTGGAATTGGCATGAGCGATAATTATTAAAAACTGGATGGCCCGCATCTCGAACGCTTAAAACCGGTGGAGTTTCTTAATGGGACATGTGTGACCAACCATTCCTAGAACACTTCAACGCATCTTGACAGGCAAAAAATTTGCCTGTTACTGAGTAAACAATAGTATATAACATATTATTGAAGTTATACTTCGTTTGGAGCGTTAGGGAAAAATTATGAGAGAAATTTTTACGATGCACGCGCACACTCTCAAAAAACCGACACCCTGAAGTTAGCAACATTTTAGTTTATTCTATTATTAGTGTCGTTTTTTCTAGTTGAATAAGTTTTTGAAAAGATTTTTATCTTTTTTCGCCAAAGAAGTATAACTTCTAACGCGTGTACATAAGTACTTTTTTTTTTAGATTTTAATCTTTCTGTAATTTAAATAGTTTCTACTAACAACAAATCTGAGTAGTAACTTTAATAAGATAACAAAAATGCGGGTGGCATTTAATTTAAAACAGTAGAGGAAATGTAATAATGAAAAACAGTTATCTTTAATAAGGAATTGTCTTGAACTGGCATAAAAATTTCGGTCCGTTGTTGTTCTTGACTCCGGTCATGTTGGACATACGTCGATGTATGTAAATTATGGAATAGTTAGGGCACTTTTGACTTGTACACACCCTTGCGCACTATAATATATACCATACCATACCATCTTCGTAAATGGCAAGCCTCAGTAGAAATCCACCCAAATCCGTCAAATTAATGTTATGTAACAACACCGTTCTATGTAAAATGAACTCTAATTTCAAGCGTTAAAGACCAAAATTCAATTGATTTTGAAATCTCATAGTTGAGAACCAGGCATAGATCGTCATAATCTGAGGCTTCTCAGTAAAAATCAATAAAAGAAAAAGAAAGATTAACGTGCAATTGTTCGTTCCGAGAACAGTTTGCTCCATTATGAATGTAATCAGAGTATTTTTATCGCAAATCTTTGTAAATCCTTAAAAAGGTATACAATGGATACAATGGTCTGACCACATGGTGGAATCTTTTTTCTTTTAATCCAAAAAGGTTTAAAAACGAATTTCGATAACACAGTTAACTATTTTTAAATTATTCATTGATTCAGTAAATTTTTTTGCAGACTTTAAGTTACTGTAGGTAATTATGTTGTTAATGTGATACCAGACTTAATTATCATTATCAAATAAAAAATAAATATTTGAATTAATATTCTTCAATGATTAATTATTATTAATTGAACAACGACATTGTATATGAAGACGAGAGCGCGTTGATGTCTTCAATATAGAATCCTTTCTTTCCACCCTTATATTTACTCCATTCCCTTTCTACAGAATAACTATATAAAAAGCTCTCATTAAATAAATATCAGCTAATATTTAAACAAGAAAACAAATATCTAGATTATGAACCGGTTTGTTTTGAAAATTAGCGTAATGAATATTACGACCCTCACCTCCTCCCTTTAAACTTTGCCTTTTATATTCTGACCTTTAAGCACCCTTTCGTACAGGTGTCGAATCACCTGTATTATGTAGAATTTTAGTTTTAATAATTACGTTCGATACCACTCCATACGGGTACTTTCTGTAACGGTACAATTGATTTTTGCAATATTCAAAGAACTATGATTGTGTGAATAAGTAACAGGGGACATTTTTTCGTGGTTGTAGGACGTGTTTATATCAAGATCTCATCTAGGAGTTATATGCACTGTCTAGCAACTTGCGACGGTGGAATATGTTAAAGATATTTTGCTCTGTTTTCTTTTGTTATACTTTAACAACCACGTTGTATGAATCATACATAAATATATGCTGTACAGAATTAACTGTACCTTTAAGATTATATTTTATTTATGAGCAGTGTTGGCCTAGTGGCCTCAGCGTGCGACTCTTATCCCTGAGGTTGTAGGTTCGATCCCCAGCATCAATGGAATTTCTATATGCGCATTTAACTTACGCTCGAACGGCGAAGGAAAACATCGTGAGGAAACCGGCTTGTCTAAGACCAAAAGTTGGCGGCGTGTGTCAGGCACAGGTGGCTGATCACCTACATGCATATTAGACAAAAGATCATGAAACTGATACAGAAATCTGAGGCCCAGACCTAAAAAGGTTGTAGTGCCACTGATCTTTATTTTAACATTATACTCTAACACTGTACTTGATTTCAATAGAAAAATACCTCATAACATAAATCAATTTAAAACGGACATTGTGCAATTACCTCGGTACAAATATCGTGCACACGACGTAAACTTGACCCTGTGAATAGAATTTAAGTTCTACTAAGTATCTATATTAGGTTTACGCGAGTATAAAAATACCACTCTATACGTCAAGTTATGTAAATAATAAGTTTAATCTATATTATTACTGTATTAATATTCGGTTAAAATCATTACAGTCAAATAAAACTGTTTTGAACAACGGAAGTTCTTTTGTATAGAAATCATTGACACCTCGCTAACACCTTCCGGTCCATTCCTGTCTCGTACCGTGACGTACACTTGACCATTTATATCCAGTTATTGATAGATCACTATCCGCGTTTTAATTGACTTTGTTCTGCAATGGAAATTTTTGTCGAACCTCTTAGTAATATCTTCTGTCATCTCCTTCATGACTCTTTAGTACAATATTTATAGCCAAACTTCCAATCAGACGCATCATATAATACCTATAGTTTTTCGCACTATAACGCGAATAAATATTTAATGTTAAGACGCAGAACGTGACAGTTATAATGATTCATGTCTTGTAACCAACCGGCACCGTTAAAGATGCTAAGTTTATTTATCTTATAACTAGTATAAGCACAATCTAGCGATATACCGGAATTAACTTCGAATTAAATAACATATAGATCACTGTCAATATACCAAAAAAGCTTAAATATCACGCCAGTCACACATGGTCGCAGGTAGATTTGACCGAGCGCAGAACAGGATTCTGTCCAAGTACCCTTTTTTAAGTTCGAGTGCCCGTTATGGAGGAAGTAAAAAATATGAGAGGCACTTTTTGTTTTACTGTTACATTATAAAACTAATACCACGTGCGCAATTGACATTGAAAATGCTGCACATATGAAGACCGATGTGTGCCGTATAAGGCGTCGTTATTCATTTAATTTAACAGGACAACAGTGTGGCATGTACAAAAAGATGTCTGAAGCAATGAATGGGCGCATTATGTATGTTAATGTTGAGCTAACTCACCGACGCATTCCTTATCCTTTTTGGAGAGCAGGGGAATTGGCCCGTCGTCTAGCGGCGAGCCGGGGCACAGGGTGTCCGCCTTGCTCGCGAGCAACTCCTGCCCCTCTTGCAAGCCGAGCTGCTGCTCGTGGAGCCGCTTTTTTATCAAAAAGATTTTAGGCATTGTGAACGTCAATAAACACTGCACTTAATTCTTTCTGTCTCAAAAGTTTTAGATCAAATCCAATAATATAACACTAGTTTGCATCATAACACTGCACGGATGATTTCCTCGCGTCGCTGATGTTTACTGTGCGTCAGCTAGCGGCACAAGCGGTACCGTTGGCCGCTGCGAAAGGACTGAGAGTAGGTGTGCGGTGCGTTCGACACCGTTGCCTGAACAGGTCCGCCCGCGCCCGCGCCGCCGCCCGTCGACTCTGTATTCTCTGCGCTTGCGACGGTACCGCCACCTCTGCACGATCATAAACAGATTCCAGTAAAAGTGCTCGCATAGAACTTCCCACTGTTATACTAATAATACCGTTCTTTTCATTTCCTTTAAACTCATTGTCCTTCGCTTATATTATGCGGTCATTACCTATTTTCGATTTCATTTTTATTATTTTGTCGGAATATACTTAATTTTTTAAAGGAGTTTTTATATTTAACAAGATTTAGTATGTTTTTTATTTATATAATTAATATTTTTAGAACGAATTTTATAAACTACCTTGCATAGATTTGAAACCAAAATTGTTAGTAACACTTAACAACACAAGAATTCAGATCTGGAATTTCTATTATACGTAAATACGTTACCGTATGGCGATACAATATTTCATATAAAGAATATATGATGTTTCTAATTCAAATTCAAAATTCAAAAAATCATTTATTCACGTAGGTAACACAATGTACACTTGTTTTACATTTACTGCCAGTTCTCAAATCAAGGGCGTAGAACGGAAGAGAAGAACTGGCAATAAACTCTCCGCCACTCTTTTTAATCGCCATGTTTTTTTTTACACAACGTTTAATAATCATAAAAAACCTTAAAAATAATTTAAAAGTAATCAGCTTCCCAGGTCATACCTATATATTTGTTTGCATTTATTCATAAGTCCAGGTAATCTATAAAAGTCGGCGGCGCTAGTCAACCAGATTAAGAGATAAAAGAGTCCCAAACAGACGAAAGCAATTACTGAAGGGTATCGGGTCTGGGTTTTACAAAACGAAAGAAAATAGCCTCTATAAATTTTACTACTTCCATTGTTGATGCAGATCTAAAATAAAATTTAAATCTTTTGTTCTGTCAGTGGCATAGCCGAAACTTTATTGTTTAACATGTGTCGTAACTAGCATCAGCTAAAAGAATACAACGCGTATATTGAGGGCCTTTAACTACCTAGCGAAAAGTCAGTCAGTTAAATTTACACAAATATTTATAATTCAAATCACAATAATAGGCTTTGAAGTGTTTGCCGCCTTTGCCTTTACAATTGTCATGTCTACAGACATAATATTTATTAGAAACAAAAACACACACACATAGACACACAAAATAACAACAATCATAGAAAAAAAAATGAGCGACATCAAAAAAAAACCCTTTTCCCATTCGGTTAGTTTCAAGTGTGTAATGCATGTGTGCTGTGGCTGTAATTGGCCCTGGCTCAGCATTATGCTGAGGAAAAGAATGTTCCACAGCGCTGGTCACAATATTAAAAGCTGTCTTACATTATTTTTACAGTCCAACAATATCGTTGAAATTACACATAAAATAATTTTTGGGTTTATACACAAACCATCCAGTTCGCAGCCTCCAACCGTAGGAGTGATATGTATGGGTTGATAGGGGGAAGAGGGAAACACATTTTCTGCAATTTCGCAGTCACTCATACAAAGTGTTGTTACTGTTACTCAGCCTGCTGGTAAATCCGCCACTGATGACTATAGTACATATAAAATGAAACGTAACATACCCAACATATGTAGTCGTATACGTAACTTATATATTCCTAATACATTTTTGTATAAAATTAAGCAATATTAAGAATTTTATGGCGATACATTTGTTCCGATTACCTGTTGAGTTTCATCATTGGACGTCAAGGCAGAATACGAAATACCATCCGTATTTCCTCGACATCCGTCGCTCAACTACTCAGCGTTTCTTAAGGCACTATGTGGAACCAGCTGCCCACTGAAGTATTTCCGAACCCATTCGACTTACGGTACTTCAAGAAAAGAGCCTACGAATTCCTAAAAGGCCGACAACGCACTTGCGAGCCTTCTGGCAATGTGTTCATGGGCGGCTGTATCACATAACTTCATATGTGCCTTCTGTTCGTTTGCCCGTATAAAAATATATACATTATTCAATGAACAATCAAAATGATACAGGGGAACCTAATCCATGTTACATATAATATGCTGATATATATAGAGTAGGTAAATAAGAAAGATTCGTGGCTCTGATGTCGTGCGTTCGATTCCCGTAGCCACCTTCTATCAAGAGCACAAGTTATGCTTGTATACGGAGACGGAAAATATTGTAAATAATACAGAACGTTAGACAGCTAAAAACTGCGTGAAAGTGCCTTTAAATAAAAATGATACAGTATTTATAGTATGGAAAATGAATGCTGTCAGAATGTGTCATTATTGTGTCGAAAAATAGGAAAACACTTTCGAGAGTTTGTGCTCAAGTCTACGGTATATTTAAGGTGGGTCGTATCATCCGATTAATATAATGAACTTCCTGGTATCTTCCGGATTTAAAATATCAAGTATAAGTTACAAGTATTTCTATAGCTGACCAACTTAGACAAAGTATTCGCAGAATTTTTTGCTAGAATAAGCACGAATGCGGTTAAAAGATGGATTATAAACTCCAATATCCTTTTCAGAAAAAGGTTTTAGTTTTTTGTTGTCTATCGTTAGTGTAAAGCTTAAAAATTATGTTTACTTCTATATAACTGTTTGTCCTGACAGATATTCTAAACAAGGGATAGACCACTCGAAATGACATTTGTTTGATGAAAACGTCCAACAAGGAAGGATTTCAAAAACTCCATCACCAAAGGTAAAAAAGCTATGAAAACGCGAAAATTTTAATCAAGAGTATACACGCGAGCCAACCTGTTATCAGTTTAATGTTACTTATAATTAAGCACGGCTTTTTACTTTTAGGATTAATATTTCAAGAGATTTCACTCCGGAATATGTCAGTTAAATTTATCACCATTATGCTGTACATTTGTACCGAATTTTTGGTTTATATATTCTGTATTAACGAGGAAAGAGATAAATTATAGTAGGAAAATGTAAAATAAATTCCATAATTCATTAAAAGGCCGGCTACGCACAATCGTTCCCTCTGGTATAGTGTACATGGGTGGTATTACTAAACATCTGGTAAGCCCGTTTACCCCTTATTTTGTCTATAAAAAAAACTTAAAACACAAATTTCAAGCAATAACCAAAAGCTCTGAGTCCAATAGCACTGTTTTAACTTATTAATTTGTATCTGTTAAATTGTGTTTACGCTGTGATAATATGAAGTTATTTAAGTTAGTAACAGTTACTTTTTATGAATAAGACTTAATGGTATCTGTACTGAGGTATTGCACATATGTTTATTACTCAGCAAGTTCAATACACTACTTCAAAAAACGTTTTTACAATTCACTTTCGTATAAAAAAGTAGTTTCTACTGTAAATAAAGTAACACAGCTACCGATGCACTTTTGTTTACTTTTTGGTTTTCGCAAAAAATGTCTGTCGATGTCTGGGAGTCAGTTTTTTATCCCGCACTAACTTAAAAACTTGTGTTCATTTTAATTACATTTGTACTACTGTATTGTTCGACATTCTTCGAATTACGATGAAATTATTGGTATGAAACCTTAATTTGATTTAACTATATATAAATGAATTGCTGTTGGTTTGTCTCGCTAATACTCTAGTATGGTTGGACCGATTAAGCTAATTATCACCTTGAAATATTTGTGGAATTTCAGGTTAAACGGTGGAAAACATAATTAAGTAAAGACAGATACGAAAAAAAATTCCAATAAAAATTGTTCATAGCTGGGAAATATATTTTGTTGTCTTTTTCTTTTTAGAAAAAATTGTCACTTGGTTGTCAATACAGAAATTTGTGTTTTATAGCTGAAGTATGAAAGAAAAGAAAGAAAAAACTTTATTATGCACAATATACAAGATATATTATAGCTGTAGTATGAAGTTCGGTCTCTTTCATCTGTTTAAAAAAAATATTAATTTTTTAACACAAATATTATATATATATTTATAATATACGTAGGTGATACAAATTAAAAAGTTCACCTCTAGTATATTTATATAAATTAATATTTCTTCGTCCCAAATTGGTATAGATATAGTTAATAATATATAATGTTACTAAAATATCATCATATTATGAGTTCATAAGCTTTAATATAAAAACTATACACAAAAACTTGTGCTAAAATGATTACACAATCAGCTACAAAGAAAAATATTACTTTATTTACTGAAATATTTTTTATTAAAAGTAATTAATTATAATTACACAGTTATATTTAATAATTAGGACGTAACACGATATTAATCTTAAATCTATCAAACAACCATTCCATTCTTTCTTGTAACCACGTGTTATAGGATCGTGCGCTTGCGTCGTGCTTTTGATATCTGCGATCGAGGTGACCATGAAATTATCTTTATGTGAAATAGCCTTTAAAGGTATATTAAGACATACCTTGCGTTTATCTTAAGGACCTGTGTCCTATCCACGAAGTTTACGAAAGATTCGGCAACAGTGTTTTTGACAACTCGATTTCCATACAAAAATATATCATTACTAGACATCGGATTATATGCACTATCAAAATGCCAAAATATGCATGCAAATATGCACTAAAAAAAGGGCGAAATATGCATAAAATATGCACAATAAAAATGCAATTAGAATAAAAAATAAAACTAATAATTTATTACATAGATTTAATTAATAAACTTATTTATTATAATTCTTGTGACAGTAAACAATAATATATTTTTCCAAGTTTTCTTGAGCAAACTTGTGACGTTTGTCACTTAATATTAATTTATAGGCTGAAAATGACCTTTCTACGTCAACTGACGTTACCGGACAGAACTTAAAATTTGGCGCCATTT